TTTTTTAATGTTTTTTGGACCACAAACTCTCTGAAAATCTTATCAAAGCCCTGGCCCTTCCTAGAAATTCATATATTCCAGAAATATTTATTGAATATTTATTTTGTGCCTAGGCACTTGGGATTGGGGATGGGGGAGAGACAGACAGTAAGTATTATAAATACATAAATCATAATGTGGTATCGTAGAAGATGACATGGTAGCGGGAGGGAAGCAGAATAAGGATTGCCCGAGGGTCAGAGGAAGGCAGGGCAGAATTTTATGTGGGATTTTTTGAAGAGGTATTATTTAAAGAAGGTCTGAAGGAAGTTGAGGGTCAGAGCCATGTGGCATTCTAGGGAATGTTCCAGGCAGAAGGGCCAGTGCAAAAGCTGCTCCAAAGATGGAAGCATGGCAGCATTTTCAAGAGCCAGCAAACAGTCCAGATGGCTGGAGCAGGAGGAGTGAGTGGGGAGTGGTCGGGGTGAAATCAGAGGGGGCCCATTTGTATACAGCCTTATAGCCATGGTAGGGACTCTGGGCTTTACTCCAAGTGGGACAGAGTCATTAGACAGCTTCCAGGGAATTATAGGATCTGACTTGTGCTGCTGCGATATGAACAGACAAAAGGGTGCAAGCAAGGAGGCAGGGAGCGCAGTCAGCAGGCTGTAGTGATTAATATTCCAGCTAAAAAGACCATGCTGAGCCCGGCATGGCGGTGCGCACCTATAGTTTCAGCTACTCAGGAGGCTGAGGTGGGAAGGATCCCTTGAGCCCAGGTGTTAAAAGTTACAGTGAGCTATGATCATGCCACTGGCATGCCAGCCTGGGCAACAGAGCAAGACCCTGTCGAAAAATTAACCAAGTAAAAGATCATGCTGGTAGCAGTGGATGTGGTGAGAAGTAGCGGGCAACTGAAGCACAGAGTTGTAACCTAAGCTGGGGGAGCACAGGTGGAAGAGGTTTTGGGGAGAAGGAGGAATCGAAGCGAGGGGAATACAGGTGGAACAGGTTTTGAGGAGAGGGAGGAGCACAGGTGGAACAGCTTTTGGGGAGACAATCAGCAGTTTTGTTTGGGATATGTGAAGTTTTTGGTGTCTGGTAGACCTCCTGGTGGGAAGCTGTGTAGCTGGGGCCCATATGTAAGCCTGGAGTTCAGGAGAAAGCCTGGGCTGGAGGTGTAAGTTGGGGAGTTGCTGACATGTAGGTGTATTTAAAGGATGAAGTCAAATGAAATCACCGAGGGAGTGAGGGTAGAGAGAAAGAGAACCAATTATCAAGCATGCAGGCACTCTCACTTAAGAGGATGGGGGGAACAGGAGGAACCTGCACAGGAGAATGAAAAGGAGTGGAGTCAGGTGCCTTGGCAGCCAAGTGAGGAAGAAAGGAAGTGGTCGCCTCTGACAGTGCTGACAGGCCAAGTAAGGTAAGCCTAAGAATTTGCCCTTGGATTTTGCAACATGTTACTGTGGCTCTTGCCAGAGCGGTTTTGGTTGAGTGACAGGGCTGACGCCTGACCGGTGTGGTTTTAAGAGAGAATGAAAGGTGATGATTTGGAGACAACTGGGTGTAGTTCACTCTTTAGAGGAATTTAACCCCAGAAAACCGCAGAGAACTAGAACAGTAGCTGATAGGGCAAGTGGGGATAAGAGACGGCTTTTGTTAAGATGGGAGAAATAACCACAGCCTGAGAGGAAGGCGCCAGTAGCAAGAGAAAGCGACGATGTGGAAGGGATCTGGGAAATTGCTGGAACGGTGTCCTTGACTGGCCAGGAGAGGTGGTGTCTTAGTCTGTTTTTTGCTGCCGTAACAAAACCACAGACTGGAGAATCTAAAAAGAACAGAAATTTATTCTCACAGTTCGGGAGGCAAGTAAGGTGGAAATGAAGGCACCGGCAGTTTGGATCGTAGCGTCTCTGCTTCTAAGATGATGCCTTGAATGCTGTGTCTTAGTTTTCTCTTCTCATGGCAGAAGAGCAGGAGAGAAGCGGGAACCCACTCCAGCAAGCATTTTTAATAGCGGCATTAATTCATTCATGAGGGCTCTGCCCAGATTCGAAACACCACTTCGTAAGTCTCCCCTCCCAGTACCATTACACTGAGGATTAAGTTTCCAACACATGAATTTTGGAGGGGACAAAAACATACAAACTATAGCAGGGGGATCTAGTTAACAGTAGAGAGATTGGCTTTTGAGGGGCGCAGAGATGGTTCATTTGTAGTCATAGGAGCTACATCTGTGGTATGGAGGTGCAGATGCCGGTAGATGGGTAAACGGAGAGGTGGGAACCCTAGAAGTCGTGTATACATGCACAAAAGTTTGTTCAGCCATCTCTGCCTTGAGGACGCAAAGGCACATGCACACAAGACCAGGCTGGAAACCCTGGAACTGTGCACAGGAAGCCGGTGGAAACTGGCAGACCACAGAGCTTGGGCCCCACTACAGGGGCAGCGGACACCCAGCTCCAGCTGGTTGTTGCCAAGGCAGGAGTGTGGGCACAGGGCCAGGTGAAAGCTGCTGGTTTCTAAATCTTAGCAATGAATTCAAATGTTTCCAAAACGCTATGCAGGCCAAGTAAAATAAAGATGGAAAGTTCCCCAGACACGGTAACCTCTGCGCTATACGTAGAAACCCTCCTTCTCCAGGCAGAGATCCAGGCCTTTCTGGAATCCAGATATTCCAGGTCTCTTCTCCCCAGGAAGGAACCAGATTTGAGCCCTAGGCTGGTTGCTACTGGAGAAGCTCCTTTGTTCCCCCAGAAAACTTCAGGCTGGCCAGGCCAGAGGGCAGGGTCGGGGTGGAGAATCTTTTTTTTTTTTTTTTTTTGAGGCAGAGTTTCACTCTTGTTGCCCAGGCTCGAATACAACGGCTCGATCTCGGCTCACCGCAACCTCCGCCTCCCAGGTTCAGGCAATTCTCTTGCCTCAGCCTTCCTGAGTAGCTGGGATTACAGGCATGCACCACCATGCCTGGCTGATTTTTTTATTTTTAGTTGAGATGGGGTTTCTCCATGTTGATCAGGCTGGTCTCGAACTCCTGACCTCAGGTGATCCGCCCGCCCCAGCCTCCCAAAGTGCTGGAACTATAGGCATTAGTCACTGCGTGAATAAATGAGAACAAACCAGGCATCAGGAAAACCCAGTGCAGAGCTCAGATGGAGACACAAATGCCTGGCGTGGCCTTGTTTGTTTCCCTAGAGTCCCAATAGCCCTCCCTAGGCCATGCTCCTGAAAGTGCCCACCTACTAAGTGCAAACCATGTGTGGGCACTAAGGGAGTCAATGGAATTGAATAATTTAATTCTCACTGCCAGCTGGTGAAATAGGTACTGTACTGTTCTTGGCATGTTTTTTAGACGAGCAAGCAGAGTCTCAGAGAGGGAAAGTGGCATACCCACAGGCGCATAGCTAAGACATGGCAGGGCCAGGTTTAGGACTGAAGTCTGTCAAGGCTACCCTAAGCTCTCCCTCAGTGAGGTGCAGATACAGGAGGAGCTGGAGGAGAGTTGTAAAAAAAGAAGCATCTGGGCTGGGCGTGGTGGCTTAAGCCTGTAATCCCAGCACTTTGGTAGGCCGAAGCGGGCGGATCGCAAGGTCAAGAGATTGAGACCATCCTGGCCAACATGGTGAAATCCTGTCTCTACTAAATATACAAAAATTAGCTGGGCATGGTGGCATGCGCCTGTAGTCCCAGCTACTTGGGAGGCTGAGGCAGGAGAATTGCTTGAACCCAGGAGGCGGAAGTTGCAGTGAGCCGAGATTGTAGCCTAGCACCTGGCAACAGAGTGAGAACCTGTCTCAAAAAAAAAAAAAAAAAAAGGCATCTGGCGTTTCTTCCAGGTGCTCTCAGCCCCTCGCAGCCCTCAGGTGTCCGTTTGA